TAATTTTTATTATTATAATTTTTTTTGTTACATTCTGATCCTTCTGAAATTATTCTAATTCTAAACATTTCTTGTTATTATCAATGTTCAAAACATTGCTGCTAATTTCTTTGTGGAAATATTGATACTTTCTTCATCTTTAATGAATAGAAAGTTCAAAAGAACAGCATTTATTTGAAAAATATATAAAAATATATAAATTATTTCTTAAACATTTCTAAAGTTTTATTTCTTGCAGTGTGACTTGATTTAACGTCATTGCAACTAATTCTAGCAATTGTGATTTTACAGTAGGTACAGAAAAGAATCACCCCCCCCTTTAAAATAATCATATTTTGTTGCTTTGCAGCCTGAAATGAAGACGGACACAGTTTTTGTTTTATCCAGCTGTATTTGCTCCGTGCAACTTATAGCATCCAAGTGAAAGATATAACACCAACATGTCAGAAAAAAAATAAAAGGCCAGAATCACTGAGTTAGACCACCCTTATTTATTATATATTTAGATCAGAGTTTTTATTATAAACTTTTTCACGATTACTTCTTTATTTTACTTGGAAAAAAACTTTTTTTTACTTCCAAAAAAAGCTGATGTTCTAAAGAGCAAACAAATGTTTAGATGTTGGAAGTGTTGGGGTTAACGGTCACAGGGGCACAGATATGTTCCCATTTCATGATAGCGTCCCAAAGCTGCTTTCACGCACACAACCATGTTTTGTAACGCTTTGCCTTCTAGATAGGTTTTAAATTAGTAGGCTGTACACCTATACATTATCCCTCATTACATTGTCACTTCTAACTTCATTTCCCGTTTTCCCCCCCAGTTTTCAATTTTTCAGATTGTTCCTTTACGTCTGCTGAGCGGCTAGTAGCTCATCAATTAAAAGTTGTGATGTGAAAGCACAGAAGTTGAAAAGGTCATCGCTAGCATTCGCCTCCAGCCCCAGTGAGAGTTTCAGACGGTAATTGGGATCTGGGCGCTTGGCTGGACTCAAAATCATCACTCACTCTCTACTGTTCATTTTTTCTCACTTCATCATCTCTCTCTCCATACAGAAACCCTTCAGATGCGTGTTAGTGGCAAATTAGATGAGAGCAACTGTTAATAAGGGAAATGCTGTGCATGTGTGCGAACATCTTGGTATACAGTCATAAGACCAGGCTCTCTGTCTTTGATCCCACCCATTAATTCACATTCCACAGAGACAGAGAAAAGAGAGACCATCCTTCCTCATCCCGAGATAAAAAAAAAAGATGGATCAAGTATCCTCTTCTCTCTCTCTCTCTCTCTCTCAGTACCATTCTTCATTCCCTCATTTCTCCCAGGAGAATATTACCACTCTCCTTAATTTCACGCTGTAAGGGGATCGTGCAGGAATTACACCCACACACCCATTCAATTTCCCCTTAAACATATCACTTCCCCCATCATGAGGGGGCGGAGTCTTATCCAGTTATAGCCCTTTTAGTCATTTCACATGTTCCACATCACCGGTGGACAGTCACAGATACCATCCTGACTATTTTGTTATTAGTTTTATTTTAGATTTTTAATGTGTGTATAATTTTAAAATTGATGGATTAATGGGTGCAAAAATAGGGTTGTTTTAATTTAAAAAAAAAAAAAAAATTTCATGTATAACACATTTTGTTATCTAAACATGAGCAATAAAAAGCAAACTCACAATATCTAAAACTTTTCCTGCCCTAAAATGCATAAATTAGTAAATAAAATGCTACCTAGGTCTCTCATGCTTACTAAGGCAACATTCATTTGATCAAAATAGTTAACAACTTTACTACTGTGAAATATTATTACAATTAAAATAACTTTTTTCTGTTTTTAAATATTTTAAAAATTGATGTATTCCTGTGATGGCAAAGCTGAATTTTCAGCATGATCCTTCAGAAATCGTTCTAATTTGTTAGAATTGTTCTTTGATGAATAGAAGTTCAAAAGAACAGCATTTTTTTTTTTCAATATAAATCTTTTGTATCATTATAAATGCCTTTGCTGTCACTTTTCATCAGTTTAATGCTGCATTAATACTTGCTGAATAAAAATTTTAATCAAAAAAAAAAAAAAAAATTTGAAATGTAGTGTGTATATAGATATAGGTAGTATAATCAGCTCTATTAAAAAATATATATTTTATTATTTTTTTAATTTTATCCAATGACAAATGTTTTTGTTCAAATTGTATACAAAAGTGAATTCGTCATGTGGTGTTGAGATGATGGCCAATGACCAAATAGTTTGAGGTAGAAATGTGGTTATCAGGATCTCTAGGGTGAAAAATGAGATTTCAGCGGCAAAGCCTCTGGAGGAAGTCTGAGGAGAGCTTACAGATATTACACCACTGACTTAGGTGACAAAGATCTCAACGCATCTGCTGAGCTGCCGGAAGGGGTCCAGAGGTGAATGAAAGAATCAGGAGAGATGAAAAAGTGATAGCTGTAAGGAAAGAGAAAGGCGATGAAGGATGAACTTTTACTTCAGGAATGCGTGCTGTATATTTCATGCTTTCGTGAAGGATGTGACCACACAGACACACTGTCATGAGATCCACGTAAAAAACACACTGATCTGTGTGGAGGCTGTTTACTCGGATGAAGTTGCTTTATATCAGTCTTTGCAGTTAAAGTGTGAGCATTAGTCTTGGCTGAGTCACACACACACACACACACACACACTGTCATGAGATCCACGTAAAAAACACACTGATCTGTGTGGAGGCTGTTTACTCGGATGAAGTTGCTTTATATCAGTCTTTGCAGTTAAAGTGTGAGCATTAGTCTTGGCTGAGTCACACACACACATATCGCTGCACGTCTCTTGCTTTCTTTCTCTGTCTGTTCAAGAGCCGTCATTATTACTGCTACACACAAGCACACACACATGAGGAAATAAATGGAGCATGTAAAGTAAATTGGGGTGTTTTCCCTCTTTCATCTTGTGAAAAAAAGCTGCTGATGAAGTGAACGGAAGTGCTCTGGAATGCTTAGAATGTGACATCATTACTCATCTTTGGTGAAGCTGTCAATCATAACACCGTTGTGTTTGTATTACTTTTATGGTCTTCGCAAACACTTCACAATAAAGCATACAAATTGCATTAATAGCAGTAACCAGTTTTGTAAATAATGATTAGGCATCAAGAACATTGCCCACCTCGTAATTCCTGATATTGAAATGAGTACAAAAATAGAAAAAAGTAATAAAGAATTGTAGATTAAAATGTACTACCATTCAAAAGTTTTATTTATAATTGAATGTAAAGAAAATCATACTTTTATTTAGCAAGGATGAATTAAATTGATCAAAAGTGACAGTAAAGTCATTTGTTACAAAATATTTGTATTTCAAATAAATGTTTTTTTCTTTTGAACTTTCTATTCATCAAAGAATCTTAAAAAATGTATCACGGTCACAAAAATATTATGAACAACAGCACAACTGTTTTCAGCACTGATAATAAGAAATGATTTATTTTTTTTTTTTTAGCAGCAAATCAGCATATTAGAATGTTTTCTGAAGGATCATGTGACACTGTAGACTGGAGTAAAAGCAGCTGAAAGCTGGGGTAATAATTACCCAGAATTACTTTCTATACACCTACTGATGAAATATGTACAATAACTTTGCCATTAAAGGAATAAATTCCATATTAACATGTATTAAAATCGAAAACAGTTGTTTTAAATTGTAATAATAATTTAGAATATTACTGTTCTTTTGATTAAATAAATAGAGCCTTGGTGATCAAAAAACATTTAAAAAAAAAATCTTATCGACCCCAAACTTATGAACAGTAGAGCAAATATAAATCATATGACACGCTTTAGGATTTTTTTAAAAGATAAATAACTCATATTTTAATTTTTATTCATTTCATCATGTTACTACTTAATGGAACTAGGCAAACTTGTGCATAAGCAAAAACGCCCCTCTCATTTTCACACACACAAAAAGTTATTGACCACAATTTCTGCTTTAGTAACTACAGTGCAGTTTGGAGCTTGTTAGTTACAGAGCATACATACACTCAAACACGTGTGGAACACTGTGTGAAGGCTGTGATTAATATCTCTTACACACACACACACACACACACACAGAGGAATGTGAAGCCCAGCATTCAGGTCAAGTATTCTGATAGTTTAGTGAAGTTTAAGGGTGTGGTGTGCTTAGTTTAGATTTTGGAGTTTGAGGAGAAAGCCTTCTCTGTCTCTGTGGCACACACACACACACACTTTGAACAGCTTCCCTCCAGGGAATCAGACACTTCTGACTAGTCACACCTTACTGAAGGCTTCACAGACTCTGGTATTAACATCTGTTTCAGGTGATCTGAGTTAGACCGCGCTAAATGCAAGTGTAAACGGAGTCAAAACACATTTGAACAACACTTGTAACTGCGTTTTTTATGTTTGTGTACATATATAAAATATAACTTTTTTTCTTTTTTCCAATTTTTTTTTTTTTTTTGGCAAACAATAAATCTATTTATAAAAATAAAAAAATATATATTTTAATTCTATTTCAGTATTATTTAGCAGCAGCAGGATTGATGGTAATGTGCTGTTATTTTCTGCTACATCACTGGGAACAGCTGCTCAGTCTATCTGCTGTTCCTAACGGTTATGAAAATACAATAATCGAGATAAAATAATCACTGCCCCCTTTCCAGAGAGAACTTGTGCTGTTCTGTGCATGCACTCGGAGACAGAGCAGAACACAGAGTGAACGTTTAGCTCAAGGTGCATGCCTAAACACTCAAATACACGCACAGATGTGTCAAAATTCGGCGCGTAGTGATTATTCACGTAAACCCTCTGCAGTTATCTCTTAAGAGTATGTAAACTGTTGAGAATGAAAATACGAGAGTAACAGTAAACTGGATCCATGAAGGTAATATTCCTTCTGCCGTCTCTGTGCTTAATATTAATCAAAAATAACAAATACAAAACAGAAAATAACTCACTGCTCTTGACTGAAGGGCTTTTGTAGCTTAAATAAGAAACGGAGCAAGTTTGATTCTTACAGTGAAGACTATGCTGTTTTATTTTACATTTATTTACATTTTACAATTATTCAATTTCTGTAGGCTGTTCACTGAATACTTTAGACTTAAGCACTTAAAACCTTAGATTTCTTATTGTATTACGGAGTGTTTATTTTAGAAATATAGATTTAATCTTTTTTTTTTTTTACTATTTTTTTTTTTTTTTTGGCAAACCTCAAAGTTGATCAAAATGCAGTTACTTACTATCCAGGTATAAACTGCAATTTCTGAGTGAGTATAAGAGAGAGAGTCGTAAAAACACATCTCCAGCCATAGAGGGTCAAGTCTGAACTTTTTGGCTCTTCCTGGTTTCTCTGGCACATGTACAGACTCTGGAGTGTCTGCATTTGTTTGTGTGGTTGAGTGAGAACAGCGCCTCTAATATCCCAGCTCTGTTGGTGGCATGTAGAGAGAGAGAGTGTGTGTGTGTGTCTGTGTGTGCGTGTTGGAGATGCAAAGAGCTGCTTGGGCTGTCACATGGTCAGGACAGAATAAAGGTTAAGGAATAGAGGGTGGAAACTAAGAGAGAAAAGGAACATCATAGAGTATAAATGTAAGAAAGAGTTAAAAATAAAGTGATGCACAAGCCAGAAACATCTTAGAATGCAGAGGTCAAGTTTAGGGATTTGTGTTTTGACTTCATAGCTAAGGTTAAGTCAGGAGCTGGGATCAGGCACAGCAGAGGGTAAATGTCAACCCTAAATTAGTTTTCAGATTGGATATTCATGATTGGTTCTTGAGTTCAAACATCAGTTTTACCCTACTAAAAGGTAAATCCTTTAGCATTTTGTTTATTTCTCTTTGTCTTTTGTTTTTCCCATCAGGTGCTGGAAATCCTGGTGCGTGCGGTAGTGGACAATCTGACTGATCACCGTGGCGAACAGGCCTCCAATCTTAAAGCCAAACTGCAGGAACTTTTTGGTCGAGTCTCCGCCCGTTGTAGCACAGACGCCCAAATATGGAAGCAGTACGCTCGTCTCTATGGCGATGGCCATAGCAACAATGTAGAAGACAGCGAAAAGGTGAGTTTTGTTTTGTTGATTTGTTTTGTTTTGTTTTTTGTTATAAGAAGTGCCTAGAACTATTATTTTTCTGCATTCAGTAACTTAACCCAAGAAAAGAAGCGCCTGTGATTCTTCTACAGCAGATTAAGGTTTTCAAGCAAATATTGCTCCCTAATCTATTTTATCATGAATATATTAGATTAACAGTTTTTGTCAGTTCTTGTAGATTGTAAACAGTGTTTTTTTTCACTTAAATTTGCAAATAAAACAAAGATTAATAGTGTTTACAAGAAAATTCTTTTGCAGTTGTTTCTACTTAAAAAATCATTTAATTCAATGTGTTATTTGCAGTTTCTTTTTAATTGTTTATGAAATCTACTAGCAATTTCTGAGTGAAAATTATTTCTACATTAAATTTTTTCAGTGTAGAGGTAAAGCACTCATGGGTTCGATCCCCAGGGCATCTGGTAAAATATATATCTTGAATGTTCTGTAAGTCTTTTTGGATAGAATGCGTATGTCAATATAGCTTGAAGAGCACAAAGTTTCATCACTGAAACTTCACAGTGGGCTTTCTACACTCTCAGAAAAAAAGGTACAAAAGTTGTCACTGGGGCGGTACCTTTTCAAAAGGCACACCTTTGTACCTAAAGAGTCCATATTGGTACCTTAAAGGTACATATTAGTACCTAAAGTGTACATATTAGTACCTAAAAGGTACAAAAGTGTACCTTTTGAAAAGGTACCGCCCCAGTGACCGCTTTTGTACCTTTTTTTCTGAGAATGTAGCATGGTGCTGCACCTATAAAAATACAGCGATTTACAAACTCAAACTAATCTTGACAAACTCAGTTTTGCATGGAAGACATAGCTTTTATTGGTTGTCGCTTTACTACCTTACATCTGGTTTGGTCACAAAGTCTAACTGCGTTTTGATGTGTGCGTTTGTAGGCACTACAGTTTCTGAGTAAAGCGCATCGGTGTGAGACGCAGGCAGCTGGCTGGGAAAAAGACATGGGCAACTTCAGATCTGTGGTGAAAGGTGCCAGAGATATGGCTAATGGTGAGATTTTATACACACACATACACACAAGGACATTTGAGAGGAACATACAGAATTGTGGTCCTGCACTCATTCAGAGAGTCACTCTGTCATGGCTCATGTGACAGCGCGTGAACGTAGCGAGAGACTGAAAGGGCTGATGGATTGAGAACAAGGAGCAGGAGCAAGAACGGCAAACAAGCTTTTTACCCCTTTGACCTCCAGCAGAGACAGACTTCTGTTTGTGTGTGTGGGCACGTGTGCCTGTGTGTGTTTACCAGATGGGTTTGCTTTTTGTCTGTCCATCTGTGTGTGTGTCTCATTAGGAGGGATGTTGAGGGTTTGGTCAGTGAGTGTGTTGAATTAAACATCAGTAGGGACAGAGCACAGGTTTTGGGTTGAATAGCAATTCTTTCTCCGTTTCTAACTATCTGAATTTCTGTGTCTTAAAGGTCTACTGAAGTGCCTAGAAACACGCAGCGTTATGCTATGTGGTGACGTAATTTCAACTGAAACAGGAAGACCTTTTTAAATGGCCAATAGCGTTTCGTTTATAGGGTTTAGCTTATGACAGCCACAGTCTAATAGATTAGCCCTTTAGATTCAATATGAAACTGTTACTAAAGCAAAACAGTGATTATAATGATGCTGAGGATATGTAGTTTGAAAATTGTGTAATATCTGTTCTACTTGTCAGTGCCGTTTGTCTAACCGTTTCTCCTCCTAATCTGATCCAAATCGCTATAAAATATAGCATTCTGTGTAGAATTCAACTGGGTCCGATACATTTTGTGGTATGTGCGACTCGCGCATATGATCCGCTCCGTGATATCGTGTCTCTGGACCGGAGCAAAGTGTGTGCGCGCTGCGGCGGTTTGCGTACACAACACAACACGAAACCAGACTTCTTTCGTCCCAATGGAAAGCATATTTACACTGTCTGAATCGTTCCTTATTCCCCATATTGTGCACTACGTGCATTTCAGCATACAGAAAATACTAATTCTGTGAACAAGTGACCTATTTCAGCCACAGTTTCAGTGTTTATTTATAGTGTAGGCGGCGGGACATTTCAGATTCTAGAGAGTATTTGATTGGACAGAAAGTTTGATGAGAAGCTGAAGTGCAGGGTGATGTCATCAAAACCGTTGATTCATATTGCTGGAAGTGAGAGATGGTGTAAGATTTGAATGCTTATATCTTCTAAATACGAATTTTGTCATCGTTTTGGAGCACATTAGCTTATAGATAACTAAGGCTAACATATTCATACTAAAAGCCAAAAATGTCTATTTTGTTTTCATGGGGACTTTAAAAATCAGACTGCCACATCATGTTATTCTCAGCTGAGCTGGCACTGAACATGGACTAGCTTGTCTAACCGAAACATGGTCTCGCTCAAATGTTCGTTTGCCATCTTTTTAGCATCTCTCCTCTTATTCCATCTCACACACTCTCTCCATCAGCTTGTTGTCCTTGAGTATGCAGGCTGTGTTGTTGTTGAACTTAATGATTTATAAAGGGGGCGGTTTGGCAAATGTAGCAGAACCCTTCACACGCCTCCATCCCTTCCCACTTACTCTGGCCTGCTTTGTGTGTGTGTGTGTGTTTGGGGAGGATCGATCGATATAAGGGTGAGGGAAGTGTGTGAGCATACGTATAAGATCATTCTTCACTGGGTTGTGTGTGGATTGTGTTTGTATTCATGTATGTGTTACTGTGCAATATAGCTCTGTGTGTGTGTGTTGTGAATGAGCTCTGCACTTATTAATCACATCACTTTTCCTGCTATCGCCGCTTCAGGCAGAAACATGAGGAGAAGAGAGAGATAGCAAGTCTGAAGGAGTGAATTTTGGATTGATGGATGGATGGATTGACTAGAATTTAGCAAGAATTTAGAAGGAAAGAAAGGGGGGAGCAAAAATGCAAATTAAGAGAGAGAGAAAGAAAATTTACAAAGAAAGCAAGAATTTAGAAAAAATTTGAGAAAGAATTTAGATTAAAAAAAATTTAAGAATTTAAAAAGCATTTAGAAAGGAAAGCAGGAATTTTGAAAAAGATTTTGAAAAAATAACATTTAGTAAGAATGAGAATTTAAAAAAGGAAAAAGCAAGAATTTAAGAATTTTGAAACAAATTCTTTAGAGAGAATTACAAGAATGTAGAAAGAAAAAGAAAAACAATCAGAAAAAGAAACATTTAGAAAGAAAATGTAAAAAAATGTAGAAAGAAAAATAATTACAATTTTAAAAGATTTAGAAAGAAAGAATGAGAATTTAGAAAGAGAATGAAAGAATTTAGAATTAATTTTGGAATTTATGAAAGAAGGGAATTTAAAAAGAATGAAAGAAAGAAAGGGAGGGAGGGGAGAAGTAAGGAGCGAATCAAGGAAGGGAGGAAGAAATATAAAGAAGAAGGAATTGAGAAGTAGATCACGGAAGCAGAAATGAAAGGAAATGATGGAATGATAGACAAAAAGAGAGGCACTGAGGTAGACATGTATACTCATGAAACTGTTTCTTCCCTCCATATGTGTGAGGAAGATAAACAGAGCGGGTAAACAGTACACTAAAGCATTCTGGGAATGCACCTTTTCAGGAAAATGAAAATACCTTTGCACACAATACGTGTTATTTTTAGAGTTCTGTTAACCATGTTTGATAATCATATTCTGCTGCAGACTCTGCAGAAAAAAACGTGTAGACTAGATGAGAGTGTGTTGAATGACTGTTTTAATGGTGTTGGATGTTTCACTAATAGCTGCAGTGATTAAACACGAGTCGCTCAGAGGTCGTGATCCATCACTTAATGTGAACAACACGCACACAACTGCGATTCAGAGAATAATGACCAACTCTTTGTATTAGGCCACAGACCTTGATATTGCATCACCTGACCTCAAGTGACCTTTGACAGCCCGACACACTCACTGTCTCCCCTCGCTGGCTGTGACTGTACTGGAGATGACACTCGTCAGTGATTCCTGTCTTTGTCTCTCTGTCTCTCAGTCACTATCAGCTGTAGCAGGTCTAAGCGCAATCCTCAAGAGGCTCTACAGTTGCTGTCTTCAGCTCGACTCAGTTTGAAGAGTCTGGTCACCAAAGCCAAAGTGAGTTTCATACACACTCAGCTTTTAAAGTCTTTAGCTTTAAGGGTTTTGCTAAAGTTTTTTTTTTTAAAAGCTATCAATAAAAACAGGCCTCTTTTGTTTTGTTTTGTAAAAGTTGGCATTTTTTGGCCATTTCTGGCTATTTAATGCTGTTACACATATTTAAGTCAATATAGAATAGTGTTCACAACTCATTTTACTTTCATAATGTGACAAATCCAACAAAACAGGATATTTAATAAGAAAATTTAGAATGGAAAAAAAAAAACATTTTATAAAATACTGTTCAAAAATTTGTAGTATTTTTATTTATTTATTATTATTAGTGATTCCTGTCTTTGTCTCTCTGTCTCTCAGTCACTATCAGCTGTAGCAGGTCTAAGCGCAATCCTCAAGAGGCTCTACAGTTGCTGTCTTCAGCTCGACTCAGTTTGAAGAGTCTGGTCACCAAAGCCAAAGTGAGTTTCATACACACTCAGCTTTTAAAGTCTTTAGCTTTAAGGGTTTTGCTAAAGTTTTTTTTTTTTAAAGCTATCAATAAAAACAGGCCTCTTTTGTTTTGTTTTGTAAAAGTTGGCATTTTTTGGCCATTTCTGTCTATTTAATGCTGTTACACATATTTAAGTCAATATAGAATAGTGTTCACAACTCATTTTACTTTCATAATGTGACAAATCCAACAAAACAGGATATTTAATAAGAAAATTTAGAATGGAAAAAAAAAATTATAAAATACTGTTCAAAAATTTGTAGTATTTTTATTTATTTATTATTATTATTTTATTTTTTAAGTTAATACATGTATTCAGAAAAGGCACATTAAATTGATCAAAGGTGACAGTAAAGACATTTATAATGTAAAATAAATTCAATTTCAAATAAATTCTGTTCTTTTTGAGTCCTGAAAAACTATATTATGGTTTTCACAAAAATATTAAGCAGCACAATGGTTTTCAACTTCAATAATAATAAGATATTAGAAACAAATCAGCATATTAGAATGATTTCTGAAGGATCATGTGAAACAGAACACTGGAGTAATTGGAGTTTTACCATCACAGAAATAAATTACATTATAAAATATATTAAAATAGAAAAGGTTATTTTTAATAATATTTCCCAATATCGCAGTTTTTACTGTATTTTGATCAAATAAATGCAGCCATGGTATGAATAAGAGACTTCTTTCAGGAACATCAAAAAAATCTTATTGACCCTAAACTTTTGAACGGAAGTGAATATCAGAAATTGATTGGATAAAATGTTCCTTTTAAATGACAATTCATCAGTTTTGATTTCATGTTATCTTTAAATATATTGTGGCGTTAAGTTTATTTATTTTTTTATTTTTTTATAATTTTGAATTAGATATTTATTTATTTTTTTTAGTAATTATCTTTTTGTCAGCTGTCATTTATAAGTCTCACATTTTTTGTTTTGTTTTCTCTTCACAGCAACTGTACACTGATGTTGCCACAGGTGAACTCCATGATGACCTCAGAGGTGATGTCACCGAGCTCCAGCAGCTCATCACAGAGCTGCAGGACCTGAGTGCCCAGCTACGCAGCCAATGAGAAGCCATAGCACTCTTTTCTTCCTCCCTTTGATCCTGGAGGGCTTAGGTCTTCTGTCGCTTGTTAAATCAACAGGAAAAAACTTCAAAGATATTTGTCATCATGACCTGATCCAGGGTCAGCTGTCTTTGCCCTAGTCAGAGCTGGCAATGAACTTCCTTTGTTCAACAGTGCCTCATTCCAATAAATAGTACACAGTCTCTTTCTTTCATACAGTATTTAATCCATGTGCTTGTTTTTTTAACTTGTGTATATGATGATTTAGTCAGTTAATATTGAAGGATGCACAGAGTAGAATAAAATGAGTGACAACTGACAGCTAGGTCAAGCAACATCATATGCGTTGCAACAGTGTTAAAGTCGAGACGAGCTCTTTTGAGTTTGAATCTAGGCCTAGAGTTCGAGTCAAGACCAAGACCAGAAAAGGGTCGTGTTTGAGTCAAGATAGAGTCTGAATGCTCCCGAGACTGACAAGACCAAGACAGTGAAAAAGTGTTGAACTCAGGACAGACTCACTGGATTGTGTATTATCATTTTGACTGTAAGACTTTTCTACAGCTGTCATATTAAGCATAACTCCTTATTGACCCTCCTCACCCTGTCTCTACTGTCTATTTTGTGCTCTGCCAAAGGAAGTGTTTCGGAGATTGCTATCATGATTCCTTGCTGTTTACCTCTGGATATGCGCCTCTGTTGGGCCTGTTGTTTTAGTTAATTTAAAAGACGGTTTACACAAAATGTAAACACTGACAATGTTTGCTATAATTTACTTCAGCAATCTTCTTTATCCACGCTAAACTTAACCCTCGTTTATTGTATTTAATGCAACCTTTAACCTGGGGTTAAAGTTTGAAAAGCCCATATTTGATTATTTAAAAGTATTACAGGAACACATTACCATGAAAATGTTTGGGGTCTGTAAAATATTTCAAGTATTTTTGAAAGAAGTCCCTTATGCTCACCAAGTCTTCATATATTTTTTTAATTAAAAAAATACAATGAAACCGTAATATTGTGAAAAATTATTACAAAATAACTGTTTTCTATTTTATTATATTTTAAAATGTAATTTATTCCTGTGATGGCATAGTCTTTAGTGTCACGTGATCCTTCAGAAATCATTCAAATATGCTGATTTGGTGCACAAGAAAAATTTATTATCATCATATAAATCTTTTGCATAGTTTATAATGTCTTTACTCTAATTTAATGTGTCCTTGTTGAATAGAAGTTGAATAGAATTTTTTAAATATTAAAAAAAATTAAAAATCTTACTGATCACAAACTTTTGAACAAGTATTACAGGAACACATTACCATGAAAATGTTTGGGGTCTGTAAAATATTTCAAGTATTTTTGAAAGAAGTCCCTTATGCTCACCAAGTCTTCATATATTTTTTTAATTAAAAAAATACAATGAAACCGTAATATTGTGAAAAATTATTACAAAATAACTGTTTTCTATTTTATTATATTTTAAAATGTAATTTATTCCTGTGATGGCATAGTCTTTAGTGTCACGTGATCCTTCAGAAATCATTCAAATATGCTGATTTGGTGCACAAGAAAAATTTATTATCATCATATAAATCTTTTGCATAGTTTATAATGTCTTTACTCTAATTTAATGTGTCCTTGTTGAATAGAAGTTGAATAGAATTTTTAAAATATTATAAAAAAAAATTAAAAATCTTACTGATCACAAACTTTTGAACAATAGTGGATATAAAGTATGTATCAGATTAGGTCATTATGTCATTGAGAGTTTGCAGAGTTGGGCCTTTCTGAGCTTTTTGAATGTTAATATATTTGATTGTCTAATTCTAGTGAGAATTTAGAGAGATTTATTTTTACCAATCTGATTTCTCACAAATCTAGACTCTCTTCCTGTCTTGACGCCCGTCTTGCTGGCACGTATCTCTGTGCCTGTCCTCGGAGAAATTACATCATGCTAGTAATTTTTCTGCATGGTATTTGAGCATTAGAAAATATCTGTAAGTAATTAACTTTCATTGTGAGAACATTTCTTTGTATGCTTGACAAGAAACAAGGAAATTGGCAGTGTTTGGTTATTCATCATATTCAGCTATTTATGTACAAATGATGCAAGAACATTGCCTAGTAAGTTGCCCCGGAGAACCTACAGCATAGCTGGGGGCTAAGAAACATAAATCTGACACAAAGCAAACATCCTGCGTCTGTTCTGGGAACCACCAAGTGAGCTACTTCCAGAGATTACGCAATGTCAGTACACTATTGCAGAGATATTTAATATCAATGCCACATATGTTTGGCATGTGTTACTACATCATCCAAAAAGTGCTGGTCTGTTCTTCTGAATAGAGTGCTGAAGTGATGACGTGCTATTGTAGGCCAACGCACAACTTTTATGAATTTTGATGCTGAAATACAGTCGCCAGAAGTAAAAAGCTAAACGTAGACTATAAAATGAATTACACTACGGTCACATGACTTTGTCTTTCTGTCTTTACTTAAAACAATTTCACTGAAAGTTTGTGTTTAATGTGATCAAAAGGCTGGAAGCAGACTAGTGAATAGATGTTACCTGTTTGCCGTGTAAATGGGACCTCTGTAGTCCCATTTAGCCACTTGTTAGCAAAAGAAAAGTACAAGTAAAAAAAATCACAGGGTATTACTAATATATTTTATGTTGTATTTTACATATTTTGATCTTGTTTTAACCACAGACCTTATTTCGGGCATTTAACCAAAAACCCAATGTCTTTGAGACGATAAAACTGGGAAATTCTAAAATGCTAACTCGTTTCCAGGTTGTGACCATCCCTGCAGCACTCTATGCTTTTGGAAGCTAGCAAGATGTGCCTAAAATAAATATCAAGCTCGCCTCAGCTGTCCTCAAGGTTGCAGTTGTCTAAATGGCAAACACTGTAGCTTAGGTAGCATCTAAAACCGAAATGTTGTGTTTGAAAACCCCGTATTACATTAGAGAGTTGCTGACAGAAGACATTTGCGTCCCTCCCACCGGGGCTGCCCTGCTGGCTGTGACCACAATCGCAAAGCACATTTTTAGCTACATAAACTGTTAATTCCCCAGCACAGCTCTCCTTCCTCCCGCAGGGTTGTGGTGATACCAATGATACAGTGTGAAGTTCCTGTCCTCCCTCTGTGGGCCGCATATGTGACTGCTGTATCATTTAAGTGCGTCCCTGCTGTCTCACGCACAAATGAACAACTTAAGAACCCGATTGCCCTGCATTATGTTCTCTGACAGTTTATACAATATAGCTGTAAAAGTTAATTGTGTTTGACACTATTGATCTTTTAAATTCCAGATGAAATGGTTTAGATTTGGATATTCCCAAGAGGTGAGTTTACAAAATAAGGATTTTGACCCCTAAAGGGGTTGTTCACCCAAAAATGAAAGTTCTGTCATCATATACTTACCTCACGTCATTCCAAACCTGTATGACTTTCTTCTGTGAAGCACAAAAAGATATTTTGAATAGTAACTAAGTGTTTCTTTTCTTTTGTCCATACAGTCAAAGTCAGTGGGGTCCAGTGTTGTTTGGACCTCACTGAATTCCAAAATATATTTTGTGTTCCACAGAAGAATGTAAGTATGGATGAATATGTGCGTAAATGATGACAGAATTTTCATTTTTGGGTAAACAATATCTGAAGTATTTATCCAGGGGGACTATATGTAATACAAAAATGAATGATACTTCAAATCACTTGACTGATTGAGGACAGGTGTCATTACTTTTCTAAGCGATCAGATTTGGGATTTTCACCTTCTGGACGATAAAACTAGTGATACATTTGTAGACTTAATAAGGGTACTATAAGTTCTTTCCAGAAACCAGAATGATTGACAGTTGAAGATAGGTTCTTTTGATTGGCCCAATACACAGACCACTCAGAGCACCCTAGCAACTGTATGGCAACATGTTAAAAACCTCCCAGAACACCTTAGCAACTGTATAAATTATACATTTTATATTAAATAGCAAGTTTGCCTTTGTATTTCTTGCACATGACTGGCTGATGGAGTACTGCTGTTAGTTACTGCTCACAGCCTGAATAATTTAAGCAATTAAGCCTATTTAATTAAAACTTTTTTACTTTTTTTTTTTTTTATTAATATCCATTTTGAGTGCATTATTACTAGTGTTACAATTACTCCTTGTATGCTATTCCTCCTGTTACTTTACTACTATTATTATTATTATTATTCACATGGGTGGGAAAGACAATTGTGTGCAAATCCCCATTGAAGTTTTGATGCAGTTTACATGGATTCACAGACCAAAATAAGATTTGAGTGTGGTGTAAACTACTTTGTTAAAGCATGCCAAAATCTTGCCATTAACATTGTATTCTCTCTCTCTCTCCTGCTCATCTTTTAGTTATGATGGTCATTATTTTTAAACTAAAAATAGCTGTGACCCAAGAATAGCTTTATGACACCACTGTCTCTCTCTGTTCCTTGACTGAATTTCCTTTTCAACTCTAGCCTTTAGACCTGGCAGATGTAACAGGAACTGTCTTTTTATTCAATTAGAGATCATCAATTGTTGAAAACAACACTAATGTGGCAATATTCTTCACATAAGAGATTGTTTGTGAATGTACATTATAAGAATGGACTGTTTAACACCTGTTTTCTTTCAAGACATTCGGTTCTTCTCAAGGATGATCTCATGCAATCAATAAATCAGTCTGAAATCTCCTTCCAAATACTCCAAAGCTTATGAGGAATGGTGTTCCATGTCTGTCTATCTGTCTCTCTGGCTGTCTCACCCACGCATATCCTAGAGTGGGCTGAGCTCAGTCTAGGCCTAAAATGGTATTGATCTAAGGAAGTTTCTGAGTCACCTTTCAGTAATGCTATAAAGACGTTCTGGTAATCCAGATAACAAGCGTCTGTAGGAGGACAGTGACTTTCGGCTTGTGAGCGTGTGAAAGAATGGAGGCATGTTCATCTATTTGTGTGTCGAAACAGGAGGGTGTGTGCGGATGTTGAATGTATTAATAGGATCCGGTTTTTGACATGTAGGGAGGCCATAGGGTCCCCGTTCATGGGCAGAAGGCTCTCAAAGTCAGATTTAGAGCTGGTAAGCAGTCAGGCATGCTGTAGGGAGAAAGTCATTTGGATCACATAACTGCATAGAACATCATGGACCGCTTCGATTCAGTGTTTCTGACTTACACAATAAATCTCACTTATTAAGTATATCAGCAGAATAAATTAATGGTTCTGATGGCTTTTCAGCTGTGTTACAGTAGTGTTGTAAATGGCAGGGGAGAGCTAAAAACATCTTGAAAATGGTCTTAGTTGGTTTAAGATAGTAGACACTCTTAAAAATAAGGTGATGACAGAACCAATTTGAGTTTCCTAACAAATGTTTCAGTGAACAATTCTTAAAAGTACAATTTTTCTTAGTGTGATAAACATTTAATAAAATGTTGACCCTTTTTTACACTGATAGGAACATTTTGTGCAATGGGAAGTTTCCATGGATGTTAAAGGTTCTTCATGGAATAATCTGCCAATAAAGAAACTTTATTTTTAAGAGTGAAGCTGGTTAGTCTCCCAGCTTGGTCGGCAAAACACATTTCCTCCTAAACCATCTACCATCTAACATATCAAACGCTGCATGGACAACAAATCCTATGGCATTTAAGGGCAAATTCTAGTAAGCCAGATTAGACATATGACAATATGGCCAGGCTATCCTCAAAAACCACAATAATACGTTTCAATGGCTATATTTCCAATGCACATTAATAGTCCAATTATTGCCAATAATCTGAGTAAGGAATTATTCAGATTAAGATGTTTATGTTACATGGACAAATCTATTAAAACTTGTTTATGTGCTACTTCCCAATGCCATGTGTTTTTACTGACATTTTGTAGCTGTTGCTGTTATGGCTGCTTCAAATATAAAATGTTAGCCGCTTCTGGGACACCAAACCATCTTGTCAAGTACATAAAGCATAAAACTACTAAAAATGTCCATAAAGTGTTTCCTCAATATGTCCTTGTCATGTAAAGCAGCAACCATGTGAAAGTGCCAGGGTAAGATCTGAACCAAATATATGAAATTTACTTTAGATTTCAACCAATATTATTATTATTATTATTAAGTATTAACCCTATTTCCTGAGGTCCCCCAAAGTGTGGCTTCTTCTTTTCCACACATGCACACTTTGTGTGGTGGTTAAATCATTTACTGTGATTATGGTTACTCGAATTATGTGCATAATTATGATATTCTGTTTACATGAGCTTCAGCTTTAATTCCAGCAGTGGCTTAATTGCATTATAGGGTGCATGCAGGCATAGCCAGTGTTTGATTCTAATGGAATTTCTGGTTACTTTTGTATAAGCAATGTTGATGTTCAGTCCCCAGTTGATGCCCAATGTAATATCTTGAGAACCATACACTGGAATAGCTTATTTTTCTTAAAGAGATGTGGAACTGATGCCTGCCTGCACTCTATGTGACAGGCTTGACTTATGATGGATGCACTTTTCTGACATTTTTACAAACGACCTCCACCTTCAAATTCATATGTCTGAAACAGTTCTTCACTTGTTTTTTTTTGCCTTTGGTTTAAGGGTTCAGCCCCACATGTGTGTTCCAATAAGAACTCCATTCCTGACGTCATGTCTGCAGGAGACTGGCTATATGGAGCTCGAGCACAAACTCCAGCCCTTGCGCACACACACGCTCAAACTTTTCTAAGAGTTTTCAAACTTCTGCTCGAGTTCAAATCGCGCGCACGCGAGCTCTCCCGCCGCGTTGACTCCCGTTTTCCCCGATTTCCGTTTCGTGCTTTGAAACTTTCTTTCACTCCAAGCATTTTCCCCCTCTTTTAAGTTATGTTTGCCTCTAAGTGTTTTCTTATGGCGAATAGATGACAGCGCGCGAGGGTTTACAACTGCTTCACACGCGACAGAGTGGAGCTGCACTTCTATAGTTTTATTTTTGTGTCTTTCTATCTATTGTGTGTAAATATAGTACAGAGTGGTTCTTTCAAATTTTCCCAACACTTTTACTTCCAATGGATATGGCTGTGCTCATGTGGGACATCATTGTTTCTCTAACGTTATTGATTTCTCCGGATTTGCTCTCGGCGGATAAGAGCGGCTTCAGGAGACTGTACGTACTTCAGCCGGGACCGAGCGGTACGGACGGTGTTCACGTGAGCTCCATTTCATCGCTCTCGGGAGCGTCGGGACAGCCGCACTCCTACAATGTGGAGCTCAAAGCCAGCCTCGGCGGCCAGGTCCGGACCCGCAGAATGGGTCACCAGTCGAACCCGAACCCGAGCATTCCGATACGTCAGAACGCGCAGCCTGGCCGACACACAACCAGCCATCATATGAAAATGTCAGGGTAAGATCAGTGCCAAATATATTCATATACATAACACTTTACGTTAACTTTAGACCAACAGCATATAGTTTTTAAAAAAAATTAGAATTAGAATTTTTATGTACAACACGATACCGATTATTAGGCATTAGAGTCGGGCAGCTACAACAGTAAAAACATTGATTATTAATAGTCATTAGGCTATTATTATATTCATTATGAATATTTGGTAGTGTTAGTTTTATAATTGATGTTTTTATGCAGAGTTGTTTTGCAATCTAAATGGTCACAAAGTTTATTATCCAAACTTAAAAATATATTTAATTCAAGTTTATTTGTATAGCGCTTTTCACGATACAAATCGTTGCAAAGCAACTTTACAGCAAGTTAAGTTTAAGTTAATTAATAAATTAAAATAAAAAATAAAGTAGGCTAACATTATAAAGTGACTTTACCCTTTTCTTTAAGGGACCCACCAAATGGTGCTGATAACAATTATCGGTAAGTCAAACCGATTATTGGGCTGTGTGTAGTTTACAGTTTGATAAAAAGAAATATAAAAATTAGCCATAAGAAGAAAAAATTATATGACAGTTCTAAAAAGTAAAAGTTTAGTACGATTCTCAAAATGCAGAACTTCGAAACAATCGAGAATGTGAGAGTGTTGTACTTCCTTAGAGGTCCGAATCTTGCATTTGATTTCCAATGATGTTAGCAGCCAGGTGTCATTAAGGAGCAATAAATTTGATAAGGCAACGAGTCTACAGTGATCATAACATTCTAAAAAGCAAAGTAACATCTGTTGTTTCAAGAAGCCACGTGAGCCAGTTTAAATGTAGGCTACCGGCTTCCCTACCAATGAACCTGATGCCCCTTAAAAAGTTTCAGCCGGCCATTCACAAAGATTTTTCCACATTCCCTACAATCACGAAGAGTATTGAGTGTATCCCAGCCCTGTATTTCTTAATATTTTCTGCACTTTGGATCAGTTCCTCTCACTTTGCTCTGAAGTACAGTATGAAATTGCACAGTGGAAATAAGAGGACTGATTATATTGGAGCCTCAACCAGCTTTGGCCCCGGGCCCTCATGTCACTTCAGTGAGCGCAGACTTGCATTAGAAACTGCTCTAGGTGGGCGAGGAGATTGACCGGGGGGGTTACAGTAAGGTTAGTAGGTCCATTCAGTTTGTGTGTGAGTGTGACTCTTGATGTCATTGCAGAGTGAATGTCTGTGGGGGGCAGTGCTGTGTTGGTTGGAGCAAGACCCCAGGATCTCAGCGCTGCACTAAACGTGAGTTATGACAATTCATTTGAATCATGCATGTGCTTGGGTTCTCTCAGGTCTTTCTTCTACACTACACCATACCTGAACTTCAACTTCAATCTTGCTTGAAGAAGGGAAGCCCTTTAATCACCCTGGAAGTCTAGTTCAGAATGGTTTCTTTGCTTTAGTTTAACACTGTTTTGCTAAAGACTGAGGGTTTCACATGAAATCAGTTCTCTTAGGTATGTCAACAAAATTAACTAATCAGTCTTTAAACTCAACGGTGTAGAAAAGGGGACTGAGTTTGTCTTATTACGAAGGGTTTAGGCTGCTAACACAAAAGCTGCAGATTCAATCATATTTAGGGTTCATCTAAGAGTTAAGAATCCTGCCCAACATCATTTACTGATCACATACTGAGGGATTACACTTATGCCCTTTGGCTTCAAACCTTCGCTATACGCTTTTTAGCAAGACATTCATCCATGTCTTGCTCCATAGTCCCCTTGGTATAAAATGGTGTCTAGAAGCTCCCTCTGGACACAAATGTGTGCTAAATATAATTGAGAGAAATTGTCAGTATTTAGTCTCTTTGACTTTAATTCTTCTGTAAAATGCACAAAACAGATCAGAGGCTACAAGTGTTGTTTTGGACCCCAATTCATTGAATGGACAAAAACAGTTGAAACATTTTTCTTAAACTGTGTTCCAAAGTAGAAAAAACAACATGAGGGACAGGATTTTCATTTTTGAGTGAATTGTCCTTTAATGCCATGAGCAGTTGCTGTGGTTAAAACATGACATATGCTGAGACATTTTATGGTATCCTTCATAAATAACCAGACAGACAGCTGCAATGGCCACCTGTGATGGAAGTCAAAACGTTCTCAGTGAGATCTGAAGCGGAGGGATGGGGGTGGTCGGAAGGAGGGTGTGTATTGTTATCATAGGTGTAGATTTCGAGTGGGTGGTGCCGGATGGTTCATGATAGCGTATATTAGCAAACACTCAGTATGTCACAACATGCTCAAGTTACAAGCAAATCTAATCTGCAAGTTATTACACTCAAAACCCATAGCACCAACTTGGGGTTTGTAAAGAAAAGAAATGCAAGACATGACAGAAATGTTTCAGTTAATGCAACGGACAGAAAGTACACAGGAAAAAAACTTGAAATATAATTATAGAAAACAAAGAGAGGAGGACACAATGGCAAAGGGCAAAAGATGTGAAATTTTGATGCTACAGAGAGTATGATAAACTAGTGGAAGACCTGGATCAGTTTCTCCTCATCCTGTGTGTTTCTGCCAGTAGGTTATATAAGAACCAGTCACTGTATGTGTGGAAGTATGTGGAGGCCACCGGGGAAAGTTGCACCTCCACCCGCTGTCTGAGTCTTACCTCCAGCACACATTCCTCTTACCCACATTTTACACATATCCTAGACAATCAATATTGTGTCTACATCCCCTGTCTCCAGTGACATTCCTCCTTCCTTTCCCTTGTTTTTCAGGAATGACAAATTGACTTTTTTTGTGTGTAGGGTCTATGCCGCTTCCAAGATTGTGTCTTGGATGTCTGCTGCATTTTGACAAAGTGTTTTGTCTTGGAGCATTGCGTCAAACATCAGGTGCACATTTTACTAGTGTATAGTGATTATGCAGCCAATTTCATCCGAGTGATCTTTCTCATACATTAAAGTCAGTCTTGGCTCCAGATGTCTATATTTGATGGATATGGGTTTGTTTCTCAAGGGCTTGTCTGCAACCTACTAAGCCATAGACAATCTGTTTTTGTGTGTGTGTTGTTAAGAATTGAATAGCTAAGAATGCTTGTTACATTTTCTATTCTGATTTTTCAGTGTCAGATACCTGAGATACTTTCAAAGCATAATATGCAGAAACAACAGTATGTAAATCATTCAGTCAGGTTAAGTCCTGTAAAAAGTGTAAACATTAGGACACAATTATAAAAAAAACTATATTTGTTTGAGCACTGTTCAGGAACTCTCGTTAAACCAATGGCGTGAGTTTGGGGGTGGGACTATTTGTCAGATTACTCAAACAGACTGACGTTTTGAAACCACAAATTTGGTCTAAAACCTTTAAGATAACAATATTGCCAGCTACTTAGTGTATTTCTAATTTTCCAGCAACGAAAATGCCAAACAATCATTTCTGAACAAAGCTACAGAAGAATTAATTGTAACAGTTCTCCAAGCAAACACAGTAGCTTTGTTCTTGCATGAATCATTGATTTTAAACTATCTAGTTAAGTAAATGATTGTGCCCTTGTGACTTGTTTAATTCCTGAATGAATCATTGTTTTTGAATAATTCAGTTGAGTGAATTATTCGATGATTCATTCATTAAGGTGTTAGCTTGTTTCATTCCTGAATAAATTAGCTGTTTTGAATTATTGACTCAGACAGCTACTTGTCACCACCTACTGACAGAACGATCGAAAAATTGCTATCTCTAACGTACAGTAGTCTGTCTGGAATGGAACGCATCATGTATGTATGTGTGTGTATGTATATATAGAAATATATACAGGTGCATCTCAATAAATTAGAATGTCGAATGGACTGAGGCTGGGGTCAAGGCATCAAGAGCCACCACACACAGACGTGTCAAGGAATTTGGCTACAGTTGTCGTATTCCTCTTGTTAAGCCACTCCTGAACCACAGACAACGTCAGAGGCGTCTTACCTGGGCTAAGGAGAAGAAGAACTGGACTGTTGCCCAGTGGTCCAAAGTCCTCTTTTCAGATGAGAGCAAGTTTTGTATTTCATTTGGAAACCAAGGTCCTAGAGTCTGGAGGAAGGGTGGAGAAGCTCATAGCCCAAGTTGCTTGAAGTCCAGTGTTAAGTTTCCACAGTCTGTGATGATTTGGGGTGCAATGTCATCTGCTGGTGTTGGTCCATTGTGTTTTTTGAAAACCAACGTCACTGCACCCGTTTACCAAGAAATTTTGGAGCACTTCATGCTTCCTTCTGCTGACCAGCTTTTTGAAGATGCTGATTTCATTTTCCAGCAGGATTTGGCACCTGCTCACACTGCCAAAAGCACCAAAAGTTGGTTAAATGACCATGGTGTTGGTGTGCTTGACTGGCCAGCAAACTCACCAGACCTGAACCCCGTAGAGAATCTATGGGGTATTGTCAAGAGGAAAATGAGGAACAAGAGACCAAAAAATGCAGATGAGCTGAAGGCCACTGTCAAAGAAACCTGGGCTTCCATACCACCTCAGTAGTGCCACAAACTGATCACCTCCATGCCACGCTGAATTGAGGCAGTAATTAAAGCAAATGGAGCCCCTACCAAGTATTGAGTACATGTACAGTAAATTAACATACTTTCCAGAAGGCCAACAATTCATTAAAAATGTTTTTTTTTATTGGTCTTATGGAGTATTCTAATTTGTTGAGATAGTGAGTTGGTGGGTTTTTGTTAAATGTGAGCCAAAATCATCACAATTAAAAGAACCAAAGACTTAAACTACTTCAGTCTGTGTGCATTGAATTTATTTAATACATGAGTTTCACAATTTGAGTTGAATTACTGAAATAAATGAACTTTTCCACGACATTCTAATTTATTGAGATGCACCTGTATATATATACATATATTATCATTTTATGATTTTATATATTTATATTATTATTATAATATTAATTTAATAAAAAAATCTTTCTATATATGTAATAGAGGGAGAGAAAGAGGGAGAAAAAAAAGAAAACCCCCTGTTTACAGAAAGAGGCCCTGTTTCCCTGTTTACACGGGCAGAGGAATCATTTTGCAGGCCATCTGGAGCAAAACCAGAGCACATTCCTGCTTCAGCCATCCCTTTTATTTTCAATGGAAGCATCTATAGTTTGATGTCAGCCACACAGTGAGTGGCCTGAGAGCCCTTAAATTTGAGCTGAAATGTAACAGAACATTTTAAATGGAAGACCTTGCAGGAAAATTGGGTGTGGAAAAGGGAAGCCTCTTTAATACCTTAGAGAATGTCTCTAGGACCATTTTTCTGCTGACTCGGGAAATCTTGGGTTTATATTGTTTTTATTTTGTTATACAGTACCACTATGGTGTCATTAAGCCATCTGTTTTTATGTTTTGCCAACCTTGGTGCGCTTTCGTGAAAGGTTATTCTCATAAGCGTACAGAATCCAGTATTTCTGCCAGATCACTGGAGTCAACCCATAAACATGTGTCTTATGATGGGGTCACCACTGTGTACACATGCTTTCAAGTAAATTAAGAATGAATTATGACCTTTTTCGTTCATCTGACAGCAGCATTAGATGTTGTAATTTATGGTGACTGGGACATAGTGGCAAGGATTAATCATAGGTCATCCATTTTTCATCAGTTTCATTGCTCATATATTTTTCAATATAGGGGGAAAATGAGAAAGTCCAGATTGTAGTCAGTACCTCCCCCTGTCTCTATATACAGTATCTTCCTTTCCATTTGTGTTTTAGGATCACTATGTCTCCATTCTCCACCTCTCTTGTCTCTGAAGATAGACCTGATCGTAAATTTTCCTGCTAAATGTTTAATGGGGTTTGATTTTTCAGGTTTTAACACTCACCTCACTCAGAAAGTGCAAACAAAGAGAATCGTTTGAATAGAAGTGCCTTTTGTTTTTCCTGGCTCGTTCCACCAAGCAGCATGGAACTTCATAGATGAAGTGTTTTATTCGGAGCTGTCAGTCATCCAGGTAGCTTTGGTCGCTGACTTTGAGTCCTATTATTGTACAGTGTGGAGGGACACTGGGATATTAGCCTTTCTATTTTACCACCAGGATATTGCACTCCAGTTCTTTATCTCAAACTGAACAAGACGAGTGTTAATCCTGGTTCATTTTCAGCTCATCATGTCCTATAAATAAATGACAATGTAGACCATGGGCCGGTTGCACCAGCTCCAGCACCAACTTACTTGCACTACTAAATATTTGATCATTGCACCATTAAACTTGGTTGAAACATAACCCTATACATAAACTAAATATTTACTGAA